GGGGGGGGGGAGGAAGAACAAGGAAGGAAAGAAGGCAAGCCAGCCACAGAATTGGCAAGGGCAATCCCAGGGTGGCACGAAGGTGTGGCAGAGGGAGTGGGATAGGGTTGGGTTCCTATTTTGTTCTAACACATCCGGGCTGAATGGCCTTTGGAGCCACTTCACTTCTCTGACCATCAGTTTCCGCATCTGCAAAATGCGGATAACAATAGGAGTACCTCTTGGTTGTTATTAGGCTGAAAAGTGGATTAAAAGCATATTTTAACAAATAGTAGGATTATTCCTATTATAACCGATCTATTGAGGAACAGCCTACCAAAAAATCTGCCTACACTCCTCAGTAGGCAAAAAGGTGGCTCCAGAGGTCACTGTAGATAGCCAGAGAGGCTGCCCATGAATCCAGACATTGAACTGGCTTCTCCTTGAACAATTCCTGCACTTTCCCAAGGGGGAAAGCTGGAAGGGGAGGCCCAGATTTGCCTCCAGCCAGCAGACAAAAGCTGGCTAATTAGGCAGGAAGCTAAGAACCCAGGAGGAAGAAAGGGGATCTGAACAGGAAGGAGATAAAATGATCATTCATTAAGATCTAGAGGGTACCAAGGACTTACACTATTTGTTATGTCAACTGTGTGGCCTGGTTTATTACTGAGGAATCAGGAGCTCAGAAAGGTGAAGGGACTTTCCCAAGGTCACGGAGCCAAGAGGTGACAGGGACGTGATCTCAGTTGCCCAGGTCATCCTAGCCCCAAAGACCCAGAACACCTCTCATTCACCTGACACGCTGGCCTCCAAATGCAACACTCAGTTCCTTCTCACACCAGCCTGGGGGACAAGCGGGTCTGACAGCATGGCCAGATGCACCAGCACTTTCCGCAACACCAACATCCTCCCCAGCACCAGCACCTTGCACGGTGCCAGCACCCTCCATAGCACCTTTCATGGCAAAATCAGCTTTAGAAGAACACCTAGGTCCCAGGACTAAGAAAGAAGGAAGGGCTCCTCTCTGCATGCTCCTGTTGTCTCAAATAGCCTGATGAACAGTTTCTCAAGTCTGTGACCCCTCGCAAGAGCCTTCTTGGTTTTAGAAAAGACAAACATTCCAGGTGATTCTTTCAGCCAGTCTTTTTCGGTTCATCTCCCCCGCCCGGTCCTGTCCTCTCATTCTCTCATGTTGCCCCCAGCTGCTCTGTCCAGGTCAGTTTTGAAATGTGAAGCAGTGAGCTGTTCCTCCCCTGTGAAGGTCCTGGAATGAGGGGCAGGTGTCTCCTGGCCAGCCCCACAGTCACCCCTGCCGGTGAGCAAGACCGCGGGGAGGCAGCCCAGCCACTGCTTACCAGCACCACACTCTCTAAGACTAGCTGGGAACTCTCTGACTTCCGGTGCTGGTTCTCCAGCACAAAACTCCATCCTGAGTTCCAGGCCATTTACATCCAAGGGCAACCAGACCACCATCCCTGGCCATCTCCCCCAGGCACCTCTCACTCCAGGCATCCCCCCAGCCTAGATCTCCCAGCTCCTGCTCCAGTGGACAGCATGCCCCTGCCCAGCCAGCCAAACGAGACACCAAGGAATGTCCCCAATAGCCCTTTGTTCTACAAGGAAAAAGTCCTATAAATCCCATCTTCAGAACAGCCCACCGGATCCCTGAGCCCTGCTGCAGCCAACAGCTCAGACCCTAGACTCTTCCTAATTGCCTTCAAAGCCTCCTCCCAGGCCCCTGAGATACAGGCCCCCTCACTCCTACAGATATACCCTCCACATCGCCCAGGGGCAGCTCTCTTTGAGAAAGCAGAGAGGCTTGTGAATGCTCACTGCTTTACGTAAACAAACGGGGCTCCCGCCCACACCCGACAGTCAGTGCTGACGAAGGACAGGTGCCCCCAAACCCAATACCTTCCTTCCTGATTCCCAGGACCAATCGAGTCAAGCTGCATGGGGAGCTTCCGCAGGCCCAGACCCTGACTGAGCCCCTCCTTTTCTCTTAGTTGACCCACTTCTGTTTGAGCGGGAAGTGACCACCGTGGGCAACCTGGCTGAACAGAAAGGCCAGTCTGGCCCAGCTCTGAGCCCTGGCCCCTGCTACCTGCTGGCTAGAGGAGCAGGTCACGGTCACTGTCCTGAGCCATGGTTCCCCTTTGAGACACGGAGGGATACATCAGTCTCTCGGGGGCTTGTGGACGTTAAATAGGATTAAATGGCAACATACCAAAAGTGCTCAGAGAAGAGGAAAAAAAAAATCATCCAGCACCACCCCAGATAACACGGCCACAGACGGCATATGTTGATACATTTCCTTCCACGTTTTTCCCCCCTCTGTTTACTTGTGTGTGTGTGTGTGTGTGTTTTTTCCATAGTTCCAATCCTGGAAAACACACAATTTTAATCTCTGCTTTTTTCACTGAACTTTCTCTCTGAAGTATTTGCCCAAATTATTGTGTGTCTTCATCACCATCATTTTAAAATGACTGCCAAATAAAGAATAATTCCACCAGAAGCTTGTAACACTCTATTTGGTAAAGATAAATAAATAAATAAATAAATAAATAAATAAATAAATAAATAATAAATAATAATTCTACTTCTTTTCTGATTACTGAAATAATGCATGCTCATATCAAATTTGGAAAGCAGGGGAAAGTCAAAAGAAGACGCAAATATCTCATGGGTAATTCAGAGTAAACTAACTACTCTCTCAGAAAAAGGAAACCTTGAGAAACTGCCAAAATAGCCCATCATAGGGACACGGGGCTTGTTTCCAGAATCCTGAGGAAGTTGGTGACAATGTAGCATTGCTTCAAATATTTTGATTTTATAAATAACACTGCAGTGCACATTGTGGTTCGTGAATCCGGGCATATTTCTGATGGTCTCCGCTGCGGCGGGTGGGGGGGACAGGTCAGCTCACTCTCTGGCCCAGTGCGTCCTTATGCTCCAGGATGGCCCCGGCCTCCCCGGGAAGCTCAGTGCTCATTCTTTTAAGGTCTGCAGTTCAGGCCACGCCCATATTCACCGGGCCCACACTGAGCCAGACAGGAAAGCTACAGCCCAAAGTAAGAGAACCCGGCCCTCAGAGGTGGGGGAGGTGGTCAGCATCCAAGGAATTCTCACCCTCCCGAGGGATGCATACAGAGGGACCGCATTCCCTCCCGGGCTCACACACCCAGCTGCGCTAACACAGATTTAGCAGGGAGATGGGGAACGGCTTGTTTACCATATACACACTCCAGTCCCAGATAACCAACCAAGAGCTGTTTTCACTTTCAAAATCCCCAGTCACGGTTGACACTAAATAGCTACGGTTTGTTGGGTACTTACCATGAACAGATCCAAGGGCTCTGCATGTCTTCTGTACTTCACCTTCCCAGCAACCCTAGTATCACCTCCATTCGACAAATGAGGTTTGCTGGCTGGGCGCGGCCCCTTGACTGGCCTAAGGTGGAGACAGGGCTCCTACCCAGTCAGACTGCTCCCATATCCATTGTCAGAACCACTGGTTCTAGTAAAATCATGGCTGATTTTGCTTCCTAGATATCTTTTAGGTCTTCCCGTGTCTCTCTATCTGCTTGCTATCCTTGTTCAAGCCACCGTCTCTTTCTACTCGGACGATTGCAGTAGCCTCATAGTCTCCCCACGCTCCCTCTTGCCTGCTGCAGTCCATCAGCCACATAAAAGCCAGCGTGCTTTATTTAAAACCCACTTAAATCATGTCTCTCCCCTCCTTGAAGTCCTTCAGAGGCTTCCTTTATGCTTCTAGCATAAAACCCAAATTCCCGCATATAGTCTACAAGGCCTAGAACTGTCTGCCTTCTGCCCACTTCTCCTGTCTCATATCTGCCTGATCCCTACCCACTGCCGAGAGTCTTGCCTCGTTGCCCTTATTCCTATTCGAGAGTTGGGACCAGCCTCAGGGCCTTTGCACAAGCTATGCTCGTCCCAACTACCTAAGTGACTTCTCCAGGTTATTTCCCTGAGGTCCTCCTTGCACAGCGTGCTTCATGGCTCCTTCACGCAACTTATCACAGTGATATATACTTATCAGTCCCCCGAGTGAGAAGGACCAAGAAATAGAAAGTCATCCATTTGGTTTTTTTCCACTAAGAAGTCAGCTTTTCTTTCCTTTTGTCTGTTTTGCATTTTGTTGCAACCATCCACTGACTGAAATTTGAGGGTTTTGTAAAAATACACTTCCATCATATTTCCCGGGGATTGTGATGGAAAGACAGAGAGACAGGGACAGGCGGAGAAAGAGGAAAGGAGACACATGTATCAATTATCAGATTATCTGAGCATTCCAGTGCAGAAGAGAGCGTAAGTAGTGTTCAAGAGGCAGAGCTTTTGTTATTTGATCAGACTCTGTGCCCCCGGACAGTGTGGCCTCGAGAAATCCTCTAGAAAAAGCCTATGCCATTTCCCACTCTTCAGTAGCAGCTACTCTACTGGCACGAAGAAACTTGAGCTGGCGGAAGCCAGCCTTACCTTAACAGTTTGTGTCACCCCGTCAAGAAACTAACCGTAAATTCAGCGATTTTCGGCACCCGGAACTTTCCTTTGTTCTTCTGTTCAGGCTGATATTCCGTTCTTGTCTTCACAATCACCTGAAATGTTCAGCCAGTGTTAGCACACGTGGACACTTCAAACACTTCTCTGCTTTTCTTTTTCTCAGTAACTAGAATTTTTATACATCGCACAAAGAACAGAAAATAAAGAACTTCCCTCTCAAACACACAAGAGCGTAGAAAATTCAAATTATCCGTACTGCCCCATTGCAACAGAGGCAACCATAGGTGACAGTTTTGGTCATACCTTTCCAGATGTATTTATACGTGTCTATAGGCGTCTATGATGTATATGTGTGCTATTATGCAAACATATATATTTTTATGTAACAGGTTCGTGCTTTGTGAATCATAACCTACTTTTATCATACAACAATATACTAACATTTTTTAATGTAGACAAATACGCAATTGTATTTTGCCTTTTGATGCAGCATAATATGTCACGGATGCGTACTCTACAATTAGTCCGATGGGTCTCTATTGTTGAACATTTAGGTGGTTTCCACAGTTTGGGTGATGTAAATAAGTTATGATGAACAACCTGAAGCTCAACCTTTCTACATACACTTCACTGCAATTTGATTTAAGGGCTTGCACCAAGAAAAACATAAAGGTCGTTGAATCTCTTGGATCATATTTTTCTGAAGTCTGAATATTTTGCAGAGGTGGTTAATATCTTATCAAGATACGCTGTCAACCTGCCAAGGCATTTATGGAACTGAGTCCCACTGTGTAGGCAAAGTGGAAGAAAAAAGAACCTGACAGATAATCAATAACAATGGCTGAGTGCCATAGCATCAGGAAGAACACCGAAGCTGTCCGAGACTCAGGGCCTCACCTGTAAATGGGCAATAGCCATAATCGTCACCCCTATTGAACAAGGTTGTTTTGAGGGTTAAATGAGGTGATAATGGGTAATATTTTTGGAATTATTTATTATGTGCCAGAACTGGAACAAGCACTTCATATGCATTTATCTACATACCACTACTATTTCCATTCTTCTGACAAGGAAACTGAAGCTCAGAGATACTAAGTCACTTGCCCAAGGTCACACAGCTGCAAGGAAGCTGTCTTCTAACCATGATCACTCTTACTTCTCGCCGGAGCTTAGATTAACTGAATCTTCACTGAAAACTCCCACCACGTTTTCCCGGAGACAGCAGTCAATTGTACTGACTCGAGCAAAAATTTCTCCTGTGAAGCATGTTAAGTCTGTGAGACATGCCATTGACTAAATGTAGCTCAAAAAGGAAGAGGTGGGGAAAGGACTACTTTACTGAACATCTCCCGTGTGGACAACTTCAATATGTTAGTTAAGGAGGCTCGGGGCCCTGCCCGTCTAGCCCCTCTCTCCCTCCCCATCATCGAGAACCCATTGACAGATGTCAGTTCTCCTCTTGTATCTCACCTCTCTCCAAACAACAGAAGCAAGCCCTGGCTCCTTCACATAGGGAAGTGGGGCAGCCAAATAAAGGTGAGGGCTACTGGGGAGATGGAGTGGATCGTTCTGTTAATTTTTTATTTTCTTTCAGCCTCCTATTCCAAAGGACAGGAAAGCAGATGCCTCTTTGCCCGCAGGTAATAAAAGCAGGTCTCCTTCTTTGCAAATTGACTCAATAGCAGATAGCAGGCACTGAATATTTGACGTCTGTATCTCAATTCGATCCTGTGGGGTAGATACTGGTACTGTCGGTATTGTAGGGAGATGTAAGGGTATGAATACCCTTTGAATACTAGCTCCGCTAAGCCTTCTGTATCTTCGTTTTCTCATATATAAAATGGGGCAATGACCATAAATACCCCATTAGGTTGTTATAAGGTTTAAATGAGTTAGCAGAGGATAAGCACTCAGACCATTCATTCAATAACAAATGTTTATTTGAACACTGCCTCTGAGTGCTGACAAATTTTCTTCCCTAGATGTTTGAAGCAGATGTGGAATTGAGCTGTCCTGTACCTGTCAGCCCGTAGGTCCTCCCTACCCAGCCCATCAAGAGCAATGCAAGGACTTCTCAAGAGGAATGCTGTTCAAGCATGCTCCTCCTGACCTCCTTGTTTGGAAAAGAAAAAAAAAAAAGGTAGGGGGTGATAGATGAACAGAAGTTTACTGGGTGAGCAAGCCAAGGAAAGACATCTTCTGCAAAGTGAACCATGTGGCCAGAGAAAGAAAAGTGTGAAATACCACGTGGTCTACACAGTTTGCTGTTTGCTTTCATGTGAACTTCAATGGATACATGAGTCGGGAGCTAATGTAACTAAGGAAGCAACTGCTTAAAGCATAGCTCATATGCTAGGTGCTTCTATTATTACCTAACTCAATGTTCTGGGTATGTGCAGGTGCTTTGTGAACTTAGAGGCTATTCTACAAATGTTAATGATTCAAAATATTTTGGATATCACTAGACCAACTGTCAGGTTATAAAGTGGTGTGGAAAACGTAGATGTCTGCTCATTCTGATCCACGTTTTTAGAAATATTCATAAGCTGGGAATTATAATGTCTTTTCCCTATTTTCATGTTGTATGTACGTATATATACATACGTGTGTGTGTGTGTGTGTGTGTGTGTGTGTGTGTGTATTATAATGCATCTTGGTATCTATTTCTAGACATAGTGAATTTCCTGGTCATTGTGTCATGTGAACCATAGGGCTTGGGGCAATAAACGCTTTTGCCTTTTCTGGTAAGTAGTATTCTCAGATGGCCCTCTAGCTTCCTAACCCCACCGCTCCCCACCCCAGTGTATGTGTGCAGGATAGTCTCCTCCCTCAAGAGTGTGGATAGGATGATGGCCTCTGATGGCATAGTTACTCCTCTGGTGATATTCTGCTGTTATAAAACTCCATCACAGCAGACTGGAGAGAGATTCTCCTGCTGGCCTTGAAGAAGTAAGCTGACATGTTACAGGAAGGCCATGCAGCTGGAACCTGAGGGCAGATTCTAGATGCTGAAAGTGACCCAGGCTGACAGCCAGGTCATTCAAGAAGATGGGGACTTCAGTCCTACAAGTACAAGTAACTAAATTCTGCCAACAACCTCAGGGGGCTTGGAAGGGGATCCCAAACTCCAGACAAGAAGGCAGAGTGGCAAACACCTTGACTTCAGACCGGTGGGACCCCAAGCAGAGAGCCCAGCTGACCTGTGCCTGGACTTCTGACATACAAAAACTGTGAGATAATAAAACGGTGTTGTTTTAAGCCATTTCCTTTGTGAAAATTTGTTGTCTGACACTAGAAAACTGATGTGCCTTCCCACATGGCCAAGTCCATCTCAACAATCAACCATCTCTTGGGTTGATCCCTTTGCTGCTAGATTTTTAGCCATCAGATCTCGGCCATCTACACATCACACATCAAACGTGAAGAAGCATTTGCTTCTTCAACCTTTTTTCTGCCCCACTATTTCTACAAACATCTTTTCCAAAGCTCAAAAAGCCCAAAACCATTTTCATCATTTTCATCATTCCACATTCCACATTAAAGACCCTATGCATAGCTGACATCTTGAGAAAGATGTCTTCTGATACCTCAAGATGGGTGACAGAACCTTAAAAATATTACCGTTGGACTGAGATAATGAATAATCATTATAGGCCCTGTCATTCTAATTATCATAATAAACATTTTGTGGTTGCATCTCTGGCATCCATTTAGATCAAAAGTTTCCAGATATCCTTTTGGGAACTCACCCTTGCCCCAGTGCGTGGCAGCCATGTGGTCTGGTCAGGCCGATCCCTCCCTCATGGTAGGAACGGTCCCTTAATTAGGTTAAGCCAATCAGGGCATACCATCCTATTGATCATAGACTTTGATTGGCTCAGAAATGGTCATGTTACCCAATTTGGACCAACAGTATAGGAGGCAGTATTGACTAGGGACTTGGGGAAAGAAGCCTCCTCGCTCTTTATGGGTGTTCCTCAAAGAGCATGCTCTTCCTCTGGTTGGTGTATTGAGGACTTGAGTTCTGAAACTTCTGTAGAGATTATTGTCCCAATGAGGAGGACCCAAGATGAAGACAAAGGTAGCAGGTGAAGGAGGGCGGAGCCCGGAGGAACCTAGGGAAACGGAGATGGGCCCTGATCACATGCTGCCCTCTGGATCATACCTTGTCTGAAGTCCACTTTGGACTCTGCAGTTATAGGGACAAATATATACTCCTTGGACCTTAATCCAATGTGGGTTAGGTTTTCTGTTACTTGAGGTAAAAAGCTCTATCTGATAAAAATGTGTTCCAAGAAAAATGAACTGAAAACTGTTAGAATTTAGCAAGATGGCCAAATAAGCATCACAAAATCAATAGGGTTTTTTTTTGGGGGGGGGG